ATGTTGGATTCCTTCCGCACGGACCAATACTGCGCTAATTGCGTGCTGAGAGACTGCCAGATACAGGAAGAGTTCTTCTCCAAGTATTGGGGTTACCAGTAGTGGTGGAGAAGACATGTATTCTTTCAAGCTTTCCAGAGCGCGGTAGCATTCTTCGTCCCACTCGAACTTGGCTTTCAATGCTTGAAAAAATGGTCATAGTCTGTCTGACGGCCGGCTAATGAATCGGTTGAGTGCAGCAGCCATGCCGGTGAGATGCTGTACTTCTTTTACTGAGTTAGGCCTCTCTAGATCCTGAATAGCTTTGATCTGTGAGGGGTCTGCCTCTATACCCCGGTTGGTCACTAAGAAGCCCAAGAATTTGCCAGATCTTACTCCGAACGCGCACTTAGGGTTGGTTTGGGGTACACTATATAATCCATCTTTTTATCTTTTTTCCATCACTTCATCTCTCTACTTTTCTGTACATCTTTTCATAAAAAGATAAAAAGTGCACTTTTTTAGGACACCCCAAACCAACCCTTAGATGCATTAAGCCGCAACTTGTGCCTCTTCAGAATCTGGAACATCTCATCTAGGTCCCTTAGATGGTCGTTCTCATCCTTGCTCTTGACCACCATGTCATCGATGTAAGCCTCCATTTTTCTGCCTAACAACAGCTCAAACATCTTGATAATCATTCTCTGGAATGTTGCCCCTACGTTCTTTAGGCGAAAGGGCATGACCTCGTAACAATACAGTCCTCTTGGAGTTGTAAAGGACGTGACCTCCTGGTTTGGTTCGTATATGGCGTTCTAATGGTAACCTCTGTACGCATCAAGAAAGCTAAGTCGGTTGTGCCCCGCCGTTAGGTCTACCAGTTGATCTATCCGCGGTAGGGGGAAGCTGCCCTTTGGGCATGCTTTGTTGACTGTCTTATAATCGACGCAGACCCACAATTTGCCATTCTTTTTTGGCACCACAACTGTGTTGGAAATCCATCTGGGGTAGTGCACCTCTCTGATAGCTCATGCCTCTAGCAGATTTCCCACTTCTTCCGCCACTATCTCGGCGTGGTGGAGTGCCGATCTGTGAGTACGCTGAATGATTAGTCTGGCGGATGGGTGGACATTGAGTTGGTGACAAATGAAGTTTAGATCAATGCCTGGCATGTCGTAGGGCGTTCAGGCGAACACTTCGATGTTAGAGGTCAAGAATTCCAAGACCTCTAATCTCTCAGTGCTGGACAACGACGAACCGAGCAAAAAGAACTTATCCGGGTTCTTTTCATCTATTCTTACCTCTACCAAGTCTTCCACCGCTTTTTGATCAGCTGTTTTGTCGACATCTGCGAACAGTTCATTGCTCTCAGGTTCTTCCACCGAATGAACATATCCCTTGGCAGTGCGGCTGCCATTAACCATGACCAAACATTGTTTGGACATAATCTGGTCTCCAAAGACCTCTTCAATTACTCCGGCTTCGTTGGGGAACCGCATTACTTGATGGTAGGATGATGCTACTGATTTCATGGCATGGAGCCATGTTCTTCCTAAGATTATGTTGTAAGTGGAAGGGACCTTCAACACCCAAAATTCCACTTGTTTTGTCACGCCTCCTGCCCTGACTGGCAGGATAATTTTGCCGACTGGCCATTCTGGCATTGAATTGAATCCGATCAGGGGGGATACAGCTGGTGCCAAGTCTTTATCCTCTAATTTCAATTGTTTGAAGGTGTCGTAGTACATTATCTCACACGAGCTACCTTGGTCTATCAAGATTCGCTTGACGTCGTAATCCTTGATGCGGAGGGTGATGACCAGTGCATCGTTGTGTGGGCAATATATTCTTTCCAAGTCTCTGTCTGAGAATGAGATGACATTGGCGGCCTCCGTTCTTCCCTTCTTGATGGTAGGTTGAGCGCTTAGTACCTCCCTCAAGTGCTCAGCCTTCTTGATCGACCCTCTGAGCTCGCAGACACGCTTAGGTTCGAATACTCCGTGTATCACATTGATTACGCCTTGAGATGGGGCGTCAATTGGCATCCCATTGGGGTTATTGTGGTCCTGGGGGGCTGGTTGCGTCCCTCCTTCAATGTATTTATCCAGGTGACCGGCTGCTACCAACTTCTCCAGATGCTGTCTCAATGGCATACAATTTTCAGTGCGGTGCCCCTTTTCCTTGTAGAAGGTGCATCGCGATCTTTTATCGTAGTCTTTCTGTGCTTCTCTTAGCTTAGCTGGCCATCTGACGAAAGGCTCATCGCATATTTCGCTCAGAATCCGATAGATCGGTTTCTTGAATACTGTGGTTATGGCAGTGCGGATTCTCAACTATCTTTTATCCTGGCCTTTTCTGTTGTCCCGCCTGCCTCGTCCGTTTTTGTTCGGACGTTCTACTGAGTTGACCTTTGTCGCGGTCTTTTTATCTGGTACTGCGGTCGTGCTAGACTTTGCCTTAGCACGAGTGCTATCTTCTTCTACCCGAATGTGTTGGTGCATTCTCTCCATTAAGGCCTCCATTGTGAGAGGCGGTGTCATAGTGATTGAGTCCTTTAGTTTGTTCCCGACTGGAAGGCCTCTTTTGTATTGTGCAATGACAAGATTGGTGGGGCAGTCCCCAATCTGGTTGAAGGTCTCCCAATAGCGGCTGTTGTAGGATTTTAATGACTCTTTTTCGCCCATGTCGATGGAGAGCAATTAATCAATTTCCACCGGGGTTTTGGTGTTCGTTCTGAACCTTGTTATGAACGCCTCTGCCAATTGCGCCCAAGAGGCTATGCTGCCTTCTGGAAGTTTTTCGAACCAAGTCAAGCCTAGGTCGCCAAGGCTTGATGGGAAGAGGATGCACATCAAAGCCTTGTTTCGCCGATATACCGCCATAACCTGGCGGAAGTGGCTTAGGTGCATGTAGGGGTCCGTCTTTCCCTCGTACGTGGTGAATTTGGGCTGAAGGAAGCCTAAAGGTAGGGGCGCATTTTCAATTGCCGAAACGAACGGCGAGGTCTGCAGCCTCGCTAATGCTTTGTCTGTTGGTTCGTAGGCAGGGCGCAGTAATGGCATTCCAACCTCGACGCTTCTATGCGTCCGAGGAGCCAACCGCTGAAGGGCAGATACCCTGCAAGGGTCGCGCGCCCTAGTATCCTCCTTTAATCGTGCCCTTTCTTCTAGCATGGTCCATAAGTCGGATGATCTTAGCAACTCCGTCTGCCTGGATGATGTATGGTGCGTGCGTGAGGGTCAATAGGTGCTTCCCTCAGCATATGACCTCGCGGTCCTCGTTCTCTCAGACCTGGAGCAACGAGTCCTGGAGGTTCTGGATTGAGTATCGCCTGTTCTGAGGCTTCTACTCTCTGCTTGTGATGGTGTGTAATGCCTACCACGGTCTTCTGAGTGGCGAGGGGCCGTCTTGCTTTTGCGCCCCTCTCCTGTCGCCACTCCTTTTCCCTTCATCTAGGGCTTCATCATCTCCATGTCCGCCGCCATCCGTCGTATCAATTCGTCCTGCTCCTTCACGCGGTCCTCCAGAATTTGGGGATCAATCTTCCGCCTTTGTCTGTCCGGACTTTGTGAACGAGAGCGACGAGGGCTGTTATTCCGCCTCTCCCTAGCATCCCTCCTGGGGTTATGTCGTTGGGGCTCCAAGTCCGCCATAGGAGGAACAGGAGGCAAACCTTCGCGTCTCCCACCTCCTTCTAGGATTTGTCCATCAATGACGGATTGCGGTAAATTTTTGTTGTGCGCCATTGATTCTAAAGAGGAAAATCTTGATCAAGAGGTTTTGTTCTTGTCTGAATTCCCACAGACGGCGCCAATTGTACGGGAAAGAAATAAACCTTCTCGTATAATCCTGTTGATCAAGTCCGTGCTCCTCCAAACGTTGTCGCTTTACTCCCTGAAAACACAGACGTGAGCTAGCCGGCGGGTATGTGCCGGAAACCTCTCCGATGCCTAAATCAGCAAAATAGACAAGTAGACAAAAGCTCTGTGTATTCAGGAATCAAAGTTGTGTTACCTCTTCATAGGTGATGTTGTAAGCTTTTATAGGTTCCACGTGGCATAATCCTAGTAGGACTTTCACTCCTCTGTGTAGAGTCCTCCTAGGATTCATACTCCTGAAAGATAATGCTTATCCTTCAACACCCCCTCACTGCATAAACCAAGTGAGATGGTTCTACCATGGTCAGACTTCAACATGACTGAGGTAAGCATGGCTATGCTAAGCCACAGATTAAACCGAGATAAAATTAGCTCGGCTCTTCCATTCACTGGTCTTACCTTGGCTCTTCTTAATGCTAACCACGGTATGTCTAAACCGGAATAACCAATACTCCGGTCCAGACGGGGATAACTTTGTGAGTGATGACCAAACTTACCGTAAGCTCTTTGAGACCGGAGTAACTTCAGGTCTCACGCGGATCGGAGTAACTTTACACCTTTTGCGGATCGGAGTAACTTTACACCTCTCTTGGGCCGGAGTAACTTCATGGTTTTTTTACTCAGCCCTTCGCATTGTGACCCATAACGGCTCATTACCCAGCTCGGCCCAATTTTCATATGAATTACCCTCTCATCACCATATTCACATATACAGAGGAGCAACTACTATGTATTTTTAGATCACCATATTCACATATACAGAGGAATAACTACTATGTATTTTTAGATCACCATACTGATTGAAAGATTAAAAAATATATATATTATGAAACTTTCACAATCATAGTAATGTTCCAGATTTCACGTAAAGAAAATTTGAACTCATTTGAAAATTAAATATTTTAATTATTTACAAAATAACAAGAAAAACAATTAAAAGAATGATTTGACAAAATTTTTTCGACTAAATACAAGAAGATCTGGAAACACAAGAAATTCTCGAAACCAACTGCACACGGTGGGACTTAAAAGGCCGTGCCGTTCCGTTCCGTTCATCTCTGTAGACCAGCGGTTACAACCACCCTTGTAACAAACACAGCGCGTGCTCGTAACGCGCCATCCTGCGCATTTTATCTTTCTGCCCAAGTCACATCCTCCTCCGCCACTCATCCCCATCATCCAAAATAAAAGCCCGATCAGATGCGCATTGCGCACCCAATACGCTTTATCGTCATTCCTCAGCTCCATCGATCTCTCTCCTCATCTTCTCAACTCTCCTCTTTCAACTTTCCTTCAACTGTTCATCTTCTCTCTCGTCTCTCTCTTCTAAACCTAGCTTCCTCCATGGCCGGAGCTGTGGAGAACTTTTCTTCCGATGCATCCGTTGCCGCCGCCGACGTTGATGTCAAGTTTGGGTTCCAGCGGCCTGAGATGTACCAGAGCAACCTCGTTGGCACTGTCGATCCCTACGACCGCCACTTGTTCCTCTGCTACAAGAGTTGCGACTCTTGGCCTTCTCGCGTTGAGGACTCCGAGTCTGATGCGCTTCCCAAGCTTCTTTCTGGAGCTCTCAAAGCTCGTAAGAACGATATCAATGTCAAGGTTATTCTTCTCACTGAATGAATTTCCATAAAATCGAATATAATTTGATGCATATACGATATGCGAACAGAGTGTGTTTATTTATGTGTTGTTCGAGTAGGTGTTGATCTGATGAATTTGACTTGGTGATTTAATGTGGCAGACTCGTTTGACCGTATGCGAGGGACGCGAGGGGACTGAGTTTTCGGATGGTGATGTTTTGATTTTCCCTGAAATGATCAAATACAGGTAAATTAGGAGTATTGGTTAGGGTTTCAGTTGGAATTCTTTATGTCGGTGGTCTAGTCTCTTGTATTTCACAAAAATTGTTAGGTTCTTTGCTAAGTCTCAGATTATGACGAATTTGATGAAATTGTTTGTTAGGATTTTACTTCTCAGATATTCTCTATGTTGAGTCCGATATTATGACAGTTTCTAGTAAATTATGAAGAATTAGAGCTTCGTTTGTTGATTATTTTGTTTATTTTCTCGATTGAAGGGGTTTGAATGGCTCGGATGTGGATAGTTTTGTTGATGATGTACTCGTGAATGGAAAACCATGGGCTTCTGGAGTGCAAGAGGTGTTGGCTGGTTCTCATGTATTTGTTTGTGCTCATGCTAGTAGAGACCAAAGGTGTGGTGTTTGTGGGCCAGTTCTCATTGAGAAGTTCAAAGAAGAGATTGAACAGAGGGCATTGCAGGATCACGTGTTTGTGAGTGCTTGCTCTCATGTTGGGGGTCACAAATATGCTGGGAACTTGATAATTTTCAGTGCAGATGCAGAGGGCAAAATTGCTGGTCACTGGTTAGTTCTCATTTGATTACTGTTTTTTTTCTTGTTTCTTGAAGCCTTGAATAAAAGTGATTCAATTGGTGTCATAATTGTGTTAACTAGTTCTCGGTCTTGTTTTGTAGGTATGGTTATGTTACCCCAAATGATGTGGCTGAATTGCTGGACCAACATATTGGAAAGGGAGAGATCATTGATCGTCTTTGGAGGTTTGTGTCTTCAAAGTTTCTTCTGTCTTTCTCATGAAACGTTTGTTAGAATGTTATGTTTCTATCCTGTCTATTATTAAAGTTCCAGAAGGAGACACTGGATGTGTGAACCGTATGGCACGTGACTAAAATTGCTTGTGACTTGGTGTTCGGGTTTTGTGGGTGAGAGGTGTGGTCAGAGGTAGTCTAGGAAGATGGCAGGCACTTCAATGGCCTGAGATCACCAGAGGTGGAGAGGAGGAGGTCAAAGCAGGTTTGGAGAGAGAGAGGTTGGCAATGATGGACCTTGAACACTGATGTACAGTGTGAGACTTAGTGTGTTAGAATCATGGAGTTGTGTTGTTGTGTTTCGCTACATATACGATACGTTATATAGGCCACAGGAGTATTCAACCCTGCCAGAAGTGATATAAGCCCTGCTGTCGTCTGTAGCTTGACGGCAGGCGGAGAGCAACGTTTCATGGTAAGCGGAAAGTAACGTTTAGTATATGCATTGAATGACATGAACGTAAGGTCATTGTTGCCTCTTCTCTAAGTTTGGTCGAGATGGAGTTGTCTTAGCAAGAAGACAACCATCTCGATGATCCCATGACCTCAGTCGCCAGTCCAGTATCCTCTGATGATCTCAAGCAGTAGTGCCTGGGCCCTGCTCCTAACCCAGGAGTTCAAGTAGGTGAATGGGCCAGGGCCCACCTTAGTGTTTAGGAGAGCCAGGGGCTCGCTTCTAAGCGACCAAGTAGGAGAATGGGCCGCGGGCTTATCTCGAAGTTTAGGAGTGCGACTCGCTTCTAGGCGACCAAGTAGGAGAATGAGCCGCAGGCCTATCTTTATGTTTAGGAGAGCCAGTGTTCATCAATCTAAGTCCAAGTGAACCGCAGATTGATTGTATTGTTGTTTGGTCTTGGAGTGAGGTATGAAGGACCATGGGCCCTGCGGGGCCATGGTGCTGCCTGTTGCAGGGCTTTTCATATTTGGATATATTTAGGCTTATATGTGTGCTCTCACTTAGGCTAAGTATATAGTCTTGGTTTTGCTTAGTGCCTTGGCACATGGCGCCCGTAGGGCTCGCCATGTATCAAACATACGACATGCCCACGTGGTGCCTTATTGGTCTGCCACGTGGGTGGGGTTTTGGTGATGTGGCACCTCTAGGGCTTGCTACGGATTGGGCTTGATACAAGTACCCACAGGTTTCTATTTGCTTTATGCATTACTTCTACTAATAACGTCATAAGCAACAAGAGAGCAAGCACTCACTAACACCTGATCCTGCAATGCCCTCAGTTTTATAATCGTGTACAAAATACTGGACTGGAGGTTTGGGATAGTCTTCCACCTCTGTCCTCTCCTTAGCAATTGAAATTAGGTACAATTGTAATTCATACTCTTGAATTTGTTTGTGAATCCAACTGGATTTGATGTAGCATTCTCCTCCATTCATATATGGATTAGAATCTTCCAATTTATTGTGCCTGTTTGGCAGAAATTATTTACAGCTTATTTCAGCTTTCAGCTTAATTTAAGTTATTTTGATGTGTTTGGTTTAACTTATAGCTTATAGCTTATAGCTTTGTGGAAGTCAGAAATCAGCTTATTCTTTGAGTGGGGCAGGAGATGCTTTAAGAATAAGCTGGAAATCAGCTTAAGCTGAAAGTTATAAGCTATAAGCTGTTTAGGCATAAGCTATAAGCACTTTCCCACAGCTCTACCAAACAGGCTATTGATTACTGATTATTAGTGTGGTCTATGTGAGTGGAAATAATTCTACTTCTGGAAGTGGTTTAGTCTTTAGTGGGTGTATTCCCTTATATATTTTACTAGAATTTCAAGTTTGGTCTATAATATGATTGCAGTAGAGCTTCTCATTCTACTCTAGTAATTTGTATTTTAATTGTCCAACTTTATTCAGCACTTTGATAACTTGTTTCAATCCATGTCTGCAATTCGTGTTTCAGTATACAAATCTTTTTTGAAGGTCCTGTGTAGATGTGCGTGAGGTTTGCGTTTACCTTTCAGATGGTACATCAGGTTTTTAGTTAACCATCAAATTAGTCTTCATAAGAAGCATATTTTGGCATTTCTGGGCACTTGCTTGTTGCTAATAGATGACTCTTTTCATTCCCTCGATAATATATTCCAAACAATATAGGAGCAGGCAGTTAACCACGTTCATCTGCAGGGGCCAAATGGGTGCATCTGTTGAACAGGCTGAGAAAGCGGATGGACGGAAGATTCCAAATGGAAAGGATCTGGAAAAAAGCGAGAAGCCCAATGGAGATAGCATTCAATACAAGAAGGAAGATGTGTCAGTGGAAAGCTGTTGTCAGGGTACTAATGGGAATTCATGCTGCCAAAATGGAGGTTTGGAGGTGAAAGAAACCACCAAAGAACAAGGAAACAAAGGGTCGGGCAAACTCTCATGCTGGATGGGAAATTGGGAGCAAAATGATGTGCTTGCAGCAGTTGCTGTGGTTGGAGCAGTGGCAACTATTGCGGTGGCATATAGCTTTTATAGAAGGTCAGGGTGAAAGATGCTCTATGATCTGTTATATTTTGTTTGCATATGGCGTATGTACCCTCGTTTTTATATGAGAGGTGAAATGAAATTTTAAATAATCATCTGCACCATGCAGTTCTTTAGAAGGAAAATGATAGCTATACCTTCATCGTGTTAACACTCTCAGGAGGAATTACCAATATGAGCAAATTTAAAGTCTAACCATCTTGCTGCCTCTCTTGTGATTTATTTCTACCCATCTCTGAAGATGCTTTTCTGTACACAGTATTTGAATGGTGTGTATTGATGCTGAAATTTGCTACTCTGTTGTGGTACTTATGGTTGGTATCTATGTGATATTGCTGCTATTAGCTGATTAGATTGATCTTTTTTCCATTAGTTGAGGTGTGGTTTGTATAAAGAGAGGATAATGATCGAGATACAATGAGAGATGCTATGTGTTGACTATGCATATGAAAATAGTTGTTGGAAGGGAGTTAATACTTAGCAAATTGTGACAGGGTATCTGTACAATAGAGTCAATTTAGTTGGTCATCTTATTGTACTTGTAAAAAAAAAAAAAGGTACTTATTGGTGTATTAAAATCCTGTTTGGTGTTTTTTGCTTTCCTTTCCATCCTGAACTCTGGAAAAGAAAAAGGTGCAGGTTAAGCTTAGCAGTAATTAGAGAAACTAGAATGGCTAGTTTACCTTAGTTGCTCAGTAATTAATGTATTGTGGAATCTTTACATCGAACATGGGTACTTTGACTATGGTCTACAATTGGAAGGTGCTGTTAGAGTAGGAGTTTTTGAAAGTTTCTGTAAGAAGATTATATTTTTGTTCACTTTGGCCCGGAAAGTTATTTTGTGAGCCAAGGTCCCCGTCAAGGCAAGATTGTATGCCTGGAAAGCAGATTTGGGAAGATAGTGGAGACAAGGTCCCCGCGTCAAGGCTATGTTGGGTTTGCGTTTGCAGCATAGCAAGGTGGTCATTGGTAGGAAAGGCCGACAGTGTAAATTCTGGAATGCTGCACCTCCTCCTGTTGTATTTTTGTCTAGTGTTAGGTTGTGTTTGGATTTTATCCATTTGAAATGAACTAAATTTGACATTATACATTCAAGAGAATATCTCCAATTTAGATTGTTGTAGTCTACTTCTGATAGAAAAGAAATGCAGTCCGTCCTTCAGTTGGTTTATATAGGAAGGGCCAAATCCCCTAGATATCATCACAAGGTTGTTAGATTTGGATCGTGTATATATTCTTTGGTATTTCTTTATGTTTCTTACATGTTTATTCATTCATTTATTTACTGTTTTTTTTATTTACTGATTTTGATTTTATATGTCTAGCTGTTTAACCAAAAAAAAAAAAAAAAAAAAGGAAAGGAAAAGTAAAGAAAAGAAACTTTGGTGATCTGGATTAGTGATTGGGTTGAGTGGAGAAAAAAAGAGGAAAAAGCAGAAGAATCAATATTGGGTGGGTGGCCAGGAATTGCTACTGAGAATAAGAGAAAGGTTGTTACATCCATACATGCAATATCCATAAAGATATCAGAGAGTGAAGAGGAAGCCTTCAATCAATGTGGCTTTATTTATATGATTTTTGTAGGGATTAGATTGGATTGGATTGTGTTGGGTTGGGTTGGTTTCAGTAGCCTCGATTCTATAAAAGATCTGAGAGTCCCCAACTTCCAATCATGTGCGTGCTGTACTGATCCCTTTTGCGTCGGATTAGGATTGTTATCCATTTTTTTCACTAGAATAATTTTGTTTTGGTAATTCTATTTTAATGTTATTTAGGTTGTATTTTAAACTTTGGAGATTATATCGATTGTTAATGTTTGTTGCTGTGATTTAGTAAGATCATTACAAAAAAGAAAAAGAAAAAAAGACACAGAATTCAAGTCATTCTTGGTCTCCAAAAATATATTACCACACATCACACAAATCACACAAGAAATGCAAACATAAAGTGGGGATAATTGAACCTCTAACCTCACTAGCGAAAACCATTTGTCAAATAACAAAAATGATTCAAACCCAAAGATTAGCAAAAGAAACCTAAACCAACTAATCATATATACATCCAGAATCCCAATTTCACTATAATGCAACGAGTGTTCAAGCATAACCCAGTTTCAGAACCACTGCATGAAACACAAAAGCTTAAAATTAAAAAAAGCTCGTCACCTACACTAAAACATGTATAATTTTTGGAAAGAATAATCATTAAGCACTGAGCTTCGCAATCGTCTCCTCCACCAGCCTCAGTGCTGTGCCCACCCTCTCATCTGCATCAATTTGTTCCATAGCCCGCTCCAAAAGCACATTCTTCCATTGTTTGTTTCTCGAACAGCCATGATGATGACTCGAGCAATCTCTTAGAAGTAGTAGCAGAGCACGGGCCATTTCCTTAGCTCTCCATGTTCCGTCCACGCTCAACTGAAGCAGCCCCGGCATCACTCCTTCCCTCAAAATCATCCCTCTGTATCTCTCTCTGCAGCTTTGGCATATGAGAACTAGGATTCCCACTGCATTCTCTTTGCATAGGGGTGAACCCTCCTCAAGAGCCTCAACCAATGCCTGAATCGTTCCACCTGTGCTAGCAGCCTCCGTTAGAGCAGACTCTGATGAAGAAACAATTCTTTCGAGCAATGCCATTGCCTTGTCAACCAACTCTGATGATTTTTCATAGCCACAGATTAGTTGAACCAAAGAAACTACCACACCAGATAGAACAATTGAGGGGATAGTTTGATGATAAGTAGAGAGATTATGGAGAGTGGCCATGATATCGAGCTTTGCTTGGATGCTGATGATGATGTTGTTGTTGTTGTTGTTGTTATCTTGGTGGTTGTTGTCATTGGTGTACTCTGAATTGAGGAACTCAATGAGGAGTTGAATAGCCCCAGAAGCTGCAATGGCCAGCTTATTTGCTGTACAAGAAGAGAGGATCAAGAGAGCTGCTATCACTAGATTGAAGAGTGATTAAGCACTGAGCTTCGCAATCGTCTCCTCCACCAGCCTCAGTGCTGTGCCCACCCTCTCATCTGCATCAATTTGTTCCATAGCCCGCTCCAAAAGCACATTCTTCCATTGTTTGTTTCTCGAACTGCCATGATGATGACTCGAGCAATCTCTTAGAAGTAGTAGCAGAGCACGGGCCATTTCCTTAGCTCTCCATGTTCCGTCCACGCTCAACTGAAGCAGCCCCGGCATCACTCCTTCCCTCAAAATCATCCCTCTGTATCTCTCTCTGCAGCTTTGGCATATGAGAACTAGGATTCCCACTGCATTCTCTTTGCATAGGGGTGAACCCTCCTCAAGAGCCTCAACCAATGCCTGAATCGTTCCACCTGTGCTAGCAGCCTCCGTTAGAGCAGACTCTGATGAAGAAACAATTCTTTCGAGCAATGCCATTGCCTTGTCAACCAACTCCGATGATTTTTCATAGCCACAGATTAGTTGAACCAAAGAAACTACCACACCAGATAGAACAATTGAGGGGATAGTTTGGTGATAAGTAGAGAGATTATGGAGAGTGGCTATGATATCGAGCTTTGCTTGGATGCTGATGATGATGTTGTTGTTGTTGTTGTTATCTTGGTGGTTGTTGTCATTGGTGTACTCTGAATTGAGGAACTCAATGAGGAGTTGAATAGCCCCAGAAGCTGCAATGGCCAGCTTATTTGCTGTACAAGAAGAGAGGGAATAGCCCCAGAAGCTGCAATGGCCAGCTTATTTGCTGTACAAGAAGAGAGGATCAAGAGAGCTGCTATCACTAGATTGAAGAGTGATTCGATTTGGCAATGAAGGAGCTTTAACAATGCCGGCACAGCTCCAGATTTCACAATATGGATCTTGTTTCTGTAAAAATGGAAAAAGGAGTCAAATTCACAAAATTTCTAAATCTGCCTGTTTCTAATTTTCAAAATTAGTGAAGAAGAAGAAGAATTACTGTTCACTGCCGGAGGCAAGACTAAGGAGAGCGAAGAGAGCAGCTTCAATGGTGTCATAGTCCTGCACCTGCTGCTGTTGCCGCGGATGAAGCATCATAACCAATGGTGCCACAACTCTTTCGGCCAACTTGTGCCTTTGCTTACTCGTTGCTTTGCATACTCTTTTCGCTGCTAATATCTGTCTCTGTCCATCGCCGCACAACAGACCTTCCACCACTGCTGCTTCCTCCATCACCGTGGAAGGGAAGCTCTCTCCCTCTCTCTCTCTCTCTCTCTCTCTCAATGATCAAATAATGAAACAGCTATATATATAGATATAGATTATACTATATTGATTGCTTGAGGAGGAGGATTTAGATGTAGATGGTGATGGTGGTAGTGGCTGGCTTTTTTTTTTTTTTGGTGGGGGGGCGGGCATTGTTTGGATTAGAAGCAAACTTACTATTCTCTCTGTTCTCTGTTGTGTTTCAGCTTTTCCAATGACTGTCCTATCCTATGTGGAAATACTACATTGGAGTGATTCTTATGTAACTTTTCCTTTTACACAAGACAACACCGCCGTCAGCTTTATACTTTCTTAATTTAATACTATATATACATGTGTGTGTGTGGATATGGAGAAGATCCTTTTGGGATTTATTGCTACCTTGGAATTTAGTCACTCATTTCATATAATCAAATCAAATCAAATTTTATTTTATGTTGTGCCTCAATCAATTTACTCTTGTGATTTCTTCCCAATCAAAAATAGCACGATGATTTGTTACAGATGACAGATAGAAAAGGAGACTGAATCTTTTTGATTTCATCATGTTAGCAGGTTTAATCAAATGATTTATTACGATGTTTGGGGTAGATGAAATTTTGATCAACTGGGTGTTAATTAAGAGAAAGCTCAATCGAGGAGAGAGTGAGTGAAGTGGATCATACAGAAAACAAGCATCCATCTATCCATCATCCACATCAAAATATCCCCCCACCTTTTCTGAATTGTGTTGTTGGGGTTACCCTATCTCTCTCTCTCTCATAAGTTCATTTGCTCTGTATAATAATATAAAGTAAGAATTGGAACTCAAAATCATGAATATCCGACACATCAATTCATAATTTGACCCAAACTTCTTTGGTTTTGCCATTATACGGGCTGCAATGTCATTTGCCAAACAATAACCTCATCCAAAAAATAACCAAAAAAAAAAAAAGAAAGGAAAGAAATTTGGCCATAAACCCCTCCAATTTATTTTTTTTTAAAAAGAACAAAAAAAATATAATACTTTCTAAACTCTCTCATAATTATAAAGTCTTGTATGAAGGATAAAATTTGTTATTTGAATATTTTATTTGACCATTATATCTTCTATTTTTTTCTTTTCTTTTTTCACAACACTCTCTCTCTTCACCAAATTGACGGTTGATCATCGTCTCCACCATCTTCATCGTTTACTAGCGTTGTTCATCCTCATCGTCGGCCGGCAACCACCATTTTTACCGTCAAACCACCACCATCTCAAATTTGATACCTATGACCTCATATTTGAAATCAATAACTTGAGATCTGAGATTAAAAAAAACTTAAATTTGATAGAAAAATGAGAAATCGAGATATTACAATAAAAAATCAAGAGTTTTTTTGTTTGTTTCTTCATAGATCTAAAAGTAAAATTTGGCTATGGTTTGTTTATTTAGTATGTACTTTATTTTTTTGTAATAGTAAAAATTTACTTTAGTTAACAACATACTAATTTGCATAACGACAGCAAAATTTAACTTTGAATCATAGTAAATTTTACTCTGATTTAGAGTAAATTTTACCCTTTTTTTTAATTACAAAGCAAAATTTTACTCTGAATCAGAGTAAAGATTAATATGATTCAAAGTAAAATTTTACTCTGAAACAAGCTGTGATGATAACTTTACAGGAGAGTGTTGTGTCATAAACCAAAGTAAAATTTTACTATTTGAAAAACAAAGCATCATGAGAAGAAGAAAGAGAGATAGAGAGATAGAGTTTGAAAACAAAGATCATGAGAAAGAAGAAGAAGAAGAAGAGAGAGAGAGAGAGAGCGCATAAATTGTGAGTGATACACACATATGCATAGAGAGAGCACAAACTATCAGAACCAGAGAGAGAGCAGGGGTAGAGCCAAGATTTCTCCGGTGGAGGGCTATTTCGCTAAAGAGAAGGTATATGATAAATCTACTTAGCCATCAATGGATCCATTAGAGTTTTATTTGATTAAATCATTATTAAATATTACTCAATGGAGGTCAATTGGACCAATAAAATTATGAGATTCGTCTTAATTAAATATTATTTATATGAATTTTATGGTTAAGGAGGTCAAAATATAAACATTTATAGATAAATGTTAAGGTAATATTTAGTAATAGTTAAAAAAATTCTAATATAATTAATCTACTATACAATATCTTCAAGTACATAAAGTTTTATAAGTGATTCCATTAAATATATTATAGAAACTCACAAATAAACTATATTGTTTTTAACATGGATTGGATTAAAATTTTTCAATAATGTTACAAATTTTTTTTTTGAGCTACAATAATGTTAGAATGATTATCTTTTTTACCACAATTTGTTTATTACCTTAACCATTAGTATTTGATATTAATATAGCATTGACACATAAAAGGATAAACAATACATAATAAGAAAATGGGAAATTTGGCGATAAATCTCTCAGGAAGTACTTATCTTGTCAAAAATGACAAGAATTATATGAGTACTTTTAAAAGTCTTTTGTATTTTAAAACATTATTCTTATCATTCTCATAGTGATTGTTTGTCTCCACTATCTCATATGAGATTAATGACCTCAAATCTGAGATTTGTTACCATAGATTTGAAAATCGATAGTTTGTTCTCTCTCTCTCTCTGTTTTTCTCTCATTCGATCTCTCTCTCTCTCTATCTCTCTTTTTCGTTCACTCCTTCTCCTGTAAATCCCTATTTTTTGTTCGTTCCATTTTTTTTATTTGTTCACAGGCAAAATCGCAAACTTTACTTTGATGAATCAAAGTAAAATTTTGTCCTTTTAACAAAAATGAGAGTTGCAAGGGAGTTTTGCAAGTATTGATTTTTTTATTTTATTTTTATTTTTTTTAATCCTTTTGACAATAAACGAAAGGTCTGAGGGACTTATGACCAAATCTCCCTAAGAAAATATGATCACCATAATATTATTGTAAATATTTTTTTTGAAAGGTAACTCTACTATGGAATTTGTTTTGAGCGTTAAATTGGGGGGTCATTATGTAATATATATAAAAAAAAAATTGGCAAAAGCAGACAATGGAGACTTTACAAAAGGTTGGAGGGGCCAAGACCCCCCTGACTCTGCCCTTAAGGAAGAGAGTGAAGGATCTTAGATTTGAGACCTACCAACCATCACGAATTGTCATTTTCTAATGACAACGACAACGGTGAATGATCTCAGATCTGAGGTCGTGAATGCGATGAGTGACAGTGGCAATGAAGAAGGTAGAGAAAGAGTTCCATGGTGAGTGGCGGTGGCACCAGTGTAGAGCAGCGATGGCGCCAATGGAGAGCAACAGTGATAAGAGCAAGATAGAGAAAAAAAAGATCGAGATGAAAGAGAGTAATTGCAATCTGATACACACACACACACACACATATATATATATATATGAGGGTATTATAATAAAATAAACAAGTTTTAAAATACTAAGGAGTTTTGAAATGATCCAGATAATTTTTGTCCTTTTGAAAGATAAGTTAGACACCGAGAGGTCTATCACCAAATCTCTCTAAAAAAATACATTAAATCTTATGATTTGGCATACTTTTTTATCAGCAATTTGTTAGTTCTATTCATAAAAAAATGGTGTTATCCATTTTATATTAAAATATATATTTTATTATTTATTTTCATGTCTATATACTATTTATATTAATTCCGATGGTTTTTATCTTTAAGGAAAGAAGTTTTATTGTAATTTTTTTCCCCTTTAAATCTCTGAGGTCTAATTAGTGTACTTTACCCAATATAAAATGATTGCATTTTGTTTATGTAAAAATATTATTATGATTATTAAACTAAAAACATAAAATAAAATTTTATAAATTTAATTATTAATATTTATTAATTTATGATTATTTTTTTCAAGATTCCATTGATATGATATTTTTCCCAAAAAAATATCAATGTTATATTAAAGTAAAATATTATTATCATGCACTTGAAGTGTAAAATGAAATTAGATTAATTTTTTTTTTTAAAAAGAAGAAGAAGAAGAAGAAGAGGAGAAACCAATCCAAATTATTAAACTAAAAACATAAAATAAAATTTTATAAATTTAATTATTAATATTTATTAATTTATGATTATTTTTTTCAAGATTCCATTGATATGATATTTTTCCCAAAAAAATATCAATGTTATATTAAAGTAAAATATTATTATCATGCACTTGAAGTGTAAAATGAAATTAGATTAATTTTTTTTTTTAAAAAGAAGAAGAAGAAGAAGAAGAGGAGAAACCAATCCAAATTATTAAACTAAAAACATAAAATAAAATTTTATAAATTTAATTATTAATATTTATTAATTTATGATTATTTTTTTCAAGATTCCATTGATATGATATTTTTCCCAAAAAAATATCAATGTTATATTAAAGTAAAATATTATTATCATGCACTTGAAGTGTAAAAGGAAATTAGATTAATTTAAAATAAAAAAAAAAATAAGAAGAAGAAGAAGAAGAAGAGAAACCAACACAACATTTTTTAAACTAAAAAAATAAAATAAAAGATTAATAAAAAAACCAAAAACCAAAAACCAATTACTCATAAAAGCCACAAACAACCATCATGAATAACCGGGCACATATTCAGGAATAAAAAAATATAAAATAAAATGAAACCAACTTCTAATCATTTATGAAAAATAAAAAAATGTTAACATTGTCTCAAGACTACCTCTAAGCAAAATTGCCTTTACTATTTATGGCAAAAAAAAATAAAAAAAATAAACCTTTAAATCTAACTCCATCTTTGAATCTTCATGCTCATCTAATGAAGTGTACTGCTCATCAAATGTCTATGAAGTTGAGTAGGTCACACCTTGAATATTCATAGCAAGTTTTGTTCAACAATAATTGCAGTCAGCATTCTTACCTTTGATTTTCTGTTTCTAGTTTTCTTTTGAAAGGGATTCGGTTCTTCAAGAGGAGCATCAATAATCTGGACTTCTTCATTGGCATTCTGAATGATAGTAGGTAAATGGATTGTGTGTGTCCAGCATTGGTGTAGAATCCTTCGTCCGTGTGGAATCTCTGATATACCTATCTAAATAGGACAAAAATATTCAATAAAAACCATGCCTCAACAAACAAGTTAAACAAAGAAAAACATGGAAGGGAAAAAATCATAACTAATATAATTAAAGTCAGGTTAGTGTTGGGGATTTAGGAAAGGATTTTGAAAGAAAAAGAGAAAAGATAGGTGAAATGTGAATAAAATGTACTTATATTTCACATAATTTCACACATCTTCTCTCTTTTCATTTCCAAATCCCTCTTCAAATCTCCTAATCAAATACAGTGTTAATCAATCTTATTTGGGTAATAAGTGGTTTTTATTTCTAGTCAACTTGAATTTATTTTTTTTAAAAGAAAAAAAAAAGAGTAGAAGAAAGGAGTATAAAAAGAAACTCACCTGTTTATGGATTCCTAAGTTCCTAACCAGACACACAAAAAGCATGCAGTTACTTAAAATAAGTCACAGTAAACAAATCAACTACGTATACAAAAACAAATCCACTATGGGCAGCAAATTAACTTCCAACACTATCTTGATGGACACACCATTGCTTTCTTATAGATATCTTCAATTTCTTCTCTCATAGTTTGTGAGATACTCTTTCTTCTTTTTTCCCTCCAAATTTATAGCTTGTCTAATGCAATTAAATAGAATGAAAGGAGATTAAAAAAAAAATTATAAATTAGTTTGATAAATCTCAAAAATTATTTCAATCCTAAAAAAGAACAAACCATATGAAAATAATGAGTATTTTTTATTATTACATTTTTTTCACAAAACTAAATTTTAAAAATTGTTGAGAAACAGATTCTCGAATCTCACCCAAACAAAGAAATTTACTTCTTCTTCACATAAAAGGTTATTAAAGAATAGCAAGCAAAAGAGTGATATGACTAATTGAAACTGTTTGGTTGTATTCAATTGTACAAAATATAAACAAAGAGAAAGGGAGTTGAAACAAGATACCTCCTAATCTTTGCAAAAGAACCTCACCAGAATTTATACGATTCTATGAAAGCCCTGATGCTGTATGTCTCTGTTTCAGTTTCAAATCTGATCTGATATAATAAGAGAAGCTGTGAATTTCACAAATCTATCGAGTCGAACAGGCCTTTGTTCAGGCTCAGGTCAACAATTTCAACGAGCTGCATTTTCTGATGGAGCTTGGTTCGTTTCAATAAGTGAACAAGCTATTAAACAAGCTCGAGCTGTTTGGCTGTTATTCACCCCTACCCATCATTCTTTTAATTTATTTCTTTTTCAATAATTAGGCCAAAGTAAAGTTTTTCCCTACGTAGTGTGAACATTATGATGCTCTGGTCTTTTTTCTTTCTTCTTCTTCTTCTTCTTTTTTTTTTATTTTTTATTTTTATTTTTTTGTGATAAATAATGCTCTGGTCTATTTCTTGGAAAGTATACAGTAAAGCAAAATTTTAATCTAAATTTATTTTTAAGTATAATAAGAACAGTACAAATGAGCCTAACACATGCATATATATAATCTTTTTCTTTTCTTTTTCTAATGCACGTATGGGTAAGTGTGCACACAACAAATTACACTTTTGGCGACTAAAAATTATTTAGTCACTGAAAGTCTTCAATTGGCGTTAGTCGCCAAAAGTTCATAATTAATTTGAGGGTGAATTACACTAATAGTCCCTATGATTTGGGGCTTCTATCACTTTGGTCTATGACTTTTCAATTGTGACACATTTGACACTGAATTTTGAATTTTATTCCAAATAAGGACAATTGAAGATATTATTTGATTTTTTAAGGGTAAAATCGTCAATTTGATAAAATATAAACTAATTCGACAAAAATAAATGTCAAACAAATATTTTTGAATTTAATGGATTCGCTTAATAATAATATCAAAGTTGTCGCCATATTTGACTTTTGAAAAAATAAAAACTTATTTGATGAAAATATAAACAACCACTTATTACGTGATCATCATCCAAACATATAATAAAAATTAATTTAGTAAAATAAATAAATGTCTAAAAGATATATTAATTTTACATAATTTTATTTTTAGTGTGTAGAAATAATTTTTAAAATTTTAAAAATATTTTTTTGACATTTAATTTTGTCAAATTAGTTTATATTTTGTCAAATTGACGATTTTGCCCTTGAATTAAGCAATGGTATCTTCAATTGTCCTTATTTGGAACAAGATTTAAAATTCAGGGTTAAATGTGTCACAATTGAAAAGTCAGGGACCAAAGTGACACAAGTCTCAAACTATAGAAACCATTAGTATAATTTTCCCTAAATTTAACATTACATTTTCAATGACCAAAATTTTTTGTTGCCAAAAACTTAAACCATTTAGGGCAACCGAACTTTTAGTCGCTAATTTTCTTTTTTCGTTTATCTTATTTCTTTTAGCGACTAAATGGTTTAGTTGCCTAAAGTCTAATTTTTTGTTTAGCTACTAAAATTTTAGTTACCTATCATATATCTTTTTTATTTTGACTACTAAATATTTAGTCACCAAAAGCCTTTTTTTCTTTCTTTTTGTTTTTTGTTTTTTTTTGGCTACTAAACCATTAGTTGCCTAAAGGTTTTTTTATGGTTACTATATATTTAGTCGCCAAAAGATTTGTTTCCATTTAATTATTTTTTTAGCTGCTAACTATTTAGTCGCTAAAAATATTTACTCCATTTTTGGCTACCAATTGTTTAGTCATCAAAAACATCATTTTATGTTTTTTTTTATATAATTAATTTGTTCACAACTTATACGTATCCCATGCAACCTGTAACAGGTATACGAACAAAACAGTACATATATATTATCATCCATTTCACAATTTGCATCTATTTCACTTACAACCATCCAAACAAGAGAATAACTTTTAATGTCAACATTGCATACAAACCAAGTATATTCCAACTTAAAATAATAATTTCATACAAAACAAATAATCATACGAAAACCATGTCCTCCGTACACAAAAATATATTTGTTACTATGCTAAATGGCCATTTGACATAGGACAAATTAACATGGTAATATGTACCATGACAAAAGGTTATCTATATACCATGACAATAATGTATCTGTTCGATGTCAAAAGTATCATGTACCCCACCAAATCCTATATGTACGATTAATACAAATTCATACAAAAAGTAGAGGACGACAAAAAAGTGGGATTACACAAAAGTGTAATGTGTTTTATAAGTGTCCAAGTGTTGGGAAGTATCCATAAAGTGTTAAACATGTTACTTTCTTAAAAGTGCCCGTACTTCTGAAGTACAAACAAAATGCTAAGCAAAATTGCTTCATACATATATCATTTTCAGTTGTCAAGATGGCTTTTTAATTGTTTTTTAGCTTCTATTGATTTTTAGGAGAGTTTAGTTTTGTTGTTGGCTTTTAGTTTTGTTCCCATTGTGTAAAGAGAATTCACCCCTACAGTGTAAAGAGGTTTCACCTCTTTCAACTTTATTTAATTATCAGAAGAAGAAAAAAAAATCCATGAAATAGGATTGCACTTTGACCGGCCACATGACTCCACTTTGACAGACATCTTAATTGGTAAAATATTTGGGGAACCAAATGCAAACAAAGGTATCAAAACTTCAACTTAAAAAATGTTAACCCAATCTGTAATCTCCATTCTCCACAGCTTTTAGATTGCATCCTTAGTTCCTCTTTCACAATCTAAGGCTCACCCATTGGAAGAAGGAGGGGTGTGACAAGATGTAAAATTATAACAACTAAAATACTAACAACTCACAATACCAGACAATAACAAAGCACTTGGTTCCTACAAGAACCCAGACTCAGTACTTGAAATACTCTCAAATAGGATATGTATATACCAGCTTCATAAGCTACCTAAGACACTGAACTTCTCCAAAACAAAAAAGTACTTAGGTCAATGAAGGAAATGATGTAAGTGACGAGTACACATACTTGCTACTTTCAAAAGCATAAAGTCATACAAGATATTCCTACAATTATAAGGACTTTTACCACATCAAGTTGCTGACTACATGACTCCATTCTCTCAAAATCCCAGACTAGATGATTAGATGGAAAGAACTAATTGTAATGTTGCTAGAAAAAAAAAATGTTGATGCTTCCACAAATGGCACATATACAAACCTATAAAAAAGTTTTTCTTTTATTTATAATTTTGGTAAACCAAGAATGGGTACGATCCTCAACAGAATTAGATAATCCATCAATTTACCAACTTTTTGGTCAGAAAAGTGGAAGGGGGCTTAAATCATTACTTCAGAAGACTGTCACAATAAAATGGAAGTTTTGGCACCGTTCAAGAAACATGATCAACAGTTTAGAAGCATAAGATCAGTCACTCATTCCAAATCAACATTATTTATCTTTACGCGTTAACTACCTCTCCCAGATTATGTTGTAAGTAGGAGCTTTGTGCACAAGGTACAACTATATATGTTAACTTGGAGGAGAACAAAGATATACGTTAACTTTACCAAAAACATTATTAAAATATTGTTGATTTAGAAAATTTTACTAGAGTTGTCTTGACCCCAACCTATTTCACAATCTAGACCCATTTCTCCCCAAGTCACACACCTCACAAGAAATAGATGATGAAGTAGAAAATTCAATTATAAGCCTAGACTTGGAATGGAGGCTCCGAAAACCTCCATTTGAAATAGAGGCTCTATACTAGGAAGCCTCCATTGCAAAAGCCGCCATTGGAAATTTTATAATAACTACAATACATTAAAAAATAATTGGCCTTTATATAAGAATCCATTTTGAATAGTTACTTGATTGATATTCAAAGTTTCTTGAATTATGATTATCTACTGAATATATACTTGTGTCCTACCTTTTTATTATACAGGAATGTTCAAATGAGTTTTTAGAGCTAGTGGTTACATAATTTTTGTATGATGCCATTCACACCTTACAACTGGAAACTTAACGTTTTCCATTTCCTTTCATCTCAAAATTTATTTTTCACTCTAGAACAATTGAAATAACAGGAGAGAGAGAGAGAGAATAATAATTTAGGGTGATGCAAATAACACTCACTTATGTTTCTTGATAGCATTATCAAGTTGACTGACCATAAGCGGAAAGGACACCTTAATACTCTGCAATAAGAAAATACCTTGAGCATACTTTATCAAGAATGAAAATGAAAGCACACTAACAAAAATGCTAAGAGGAGAAAAATGAGAACTTGAATTTCTACAGCATCAGAAATACAAGAAATGCCTGAGATTGAAATTGAAAGGTAAATGTAAAAGAATCTAATTGCAACTATATATATATATATATATATATCATAGCATCAAGTAAAGCAATTTCGTTATTGACATTTTAAAACAAAGACCCTTGTAAATCACAATTACTTTTTCAAGTTACACACTCCTCAAAAATTGAATTTTGTTCCTAAATAATAATAATAATGCCAATAGAGAAGAGGGTAAGATGTACCTAGCCTTAACCCCATTTATGGAAATGTTGTTTCTGTAATAGGTAGGTATCTATAGAGATTGAGATACAGAGAACGAGGGTTCTTACTTCTAACCAACGAGAGAGAAATGAGAGATGGTGATGATAACGATGATATGGCCACAATGTTGGTGATCAAAGAGAGAGCCAGCTCCTAACCCCCCAAAGCAGGACACACAACCACTGGAACCCCAAATTTTTTCTTGATAAACTCAAATGCCTCACTGAACCCAAGTTTTTCCCCTGACAAAAACAAAGAGAACTGCAAAATTAGCTAGACAATCTACCAATGCAACTCCAAATTTACTGCAATTTGAAGAAATTAAACAAAAAAACAAGCTAAACAGGAAATTAAACTAAATAAATCATATAAACCCTAAAGCAAGAGTGAGAAATGGGGAAATAGAGGAAAGGGGAGAGAGAGAGAGAGCAAGCGAGAAACTATTTGTATTACGGCGGTGGCGGTGGCGATGTGCAACTTATGGTGAGCAACAATGATGAGCGATTGCAGTGAGATGAGATTTGGTGGTGACTGGTTCTGTGTGTGTGTGTGTGTGTGAGAGAGAGAGAGAGAGAGAGAGAGAGAGAGAGGGGAAGAGAAGAGAAGAACCCCTATTTTCGAAAATACTGAGAAGAACTGGACGCCAATCTTTTAATTTTTCCCACTAAAATTTTATATAGCTTTAGCAATTAAACTTGTTGTTTGTCGCCAAATGTTAATTTATGACAGACTAATTTATTTCGCAACCAAACATTTAACTAACCGCGGCTAATATTTTAGTCACCAAAAATAACTATTTTGGCGACTAAAAGTATTTTGGTCACCGAAAATAAATATTCTAAGACCAAATTTTTGGTCACCAAAGATAAAAGTAAAATTTGTACTTTTTATTTAGTGCCTAAATTATTTTAGTAGGCAAAAATTACCTTACAGCGACTAAAATTTTTTTTTTGTCACCGAAAATTAATATTTGTTGACCAAAACTTTGGTCGCCAAAGTTTAATGGCAAACATTATGCTAGCTTTTGGCAACTAAATTTATTTTAGAAGCCAAAAAATGGTATACCACGACTAACAAAAATTTATATATCATTCATTACTCAAGATCCAAGAATAATTAAAACAAAAAATTAAAAATTTTGCCAAACGGGCCTTACGAAGTTGAAATCGAGATGTAAATATAATTTGTTTTTTTCAATTTAAATAGAATGGTTCACGACACTACAACTATAATAAAACTACACAATTCAAAGGATTTGTAAATTCATACCAACTCAACTCGAGTCAATGTCCGAACCCACAAACAAATTAAGAATATTATTTAACAGATACCCAAAAAATAATAAATAAATAAATTCAATTTGATACAACTCGTTACAAATATATTATTAACATCACAGTTATAAGAAGTATGCTATACAATGATATTATTAAATTTCAAAAATATCCCATAGCTTTTACTCAACCACCTTACTATAGAGGCTAATAAATTGTGCGCATGACATTAGTAAGGCCAATCATCTAGCCACACAAGATCTTATGTCCCTATTTTTCCCTCCACATATTTCAAATTATTTATTTGTCATACGATAAGTTTGACCGTATAAAAAGAAATGATTTGAGACAATGGGTCAAGCCCGTGTGGTGATTTTTGGATCCAATGGGTCAAGCCCATTTTGCCCAATGGGTCAAGCCCGTGTGGTGATTTTTGGATCCAATGGGTCAAGCCCATTTTGCCCAATGGGTCAAGCCCGTGTGGTGATTTTTGGATCCAATGGGTCAAGCCCATTTTGCCCAATGGGTCAAGCCCGTGTGGTGATTTTTGGATCCAGCCAAAATAGACGCACGGGTCCCACCTATATAATAGACTAAAGCAAGGAAAAAATTCCATTTTTACCCAAAATTTTTCAACCGTTTCCAACAAATTGTTATACAGTAGGTATTAGTTTCAGGTGTGAAAGTATTTTATGGAAAAACTTGAATGTTTGATTATGATGCTTGCATTTAGACACGACCTTGTGCATTGAGGTACATGAAATATTATTGGCCATTCAGATTTGCCAACTCTAAGGTTGTGTTTTTCTATCCTGATCTAATCATGGTCGATTCTCATTATTGAATCTATTGATAACCTGACTAGTAAGTCTATTTGTCCAAAAAAAAAAGGGTCAAAAAATTTATTGAGAATTTGATTATGTGGGCTGCCTTTTTTAATAAAAAGGCGCTTCTATGATGAAGGAGGTATTGTGGACTATCTTGTACATTATTTGTAGCCGTCCTTTCATGTCGAACACATAGCCCAACTACCACCTTGAGGCATGGACAACACATAGCCCAACCAACACCTAGAAGTATTGTCCGCTTTGGCCTAAGCATGATAGCTGGCAAGCCGCACGGATTTATTCCTTTGATTTTCCAAGGACGCCTCCACAATGGAAGTGTCCAATGCTATCTTATAAGTCTATTCTAAATATTATATACAATCGATGTGGGATGGCAACACATATTTGAAACAAGATAATTGAGAATATTATCCGCAATCGATGTGGGATGGCAACCCATATATTTGAAACAAATGATATAATAACAAATATATAGCTTGGACATGAACTTTGAATACATCATATTAATATTTTTCCAAACTGGTGTCGTTTAATGGTCAATTTTATTGAATTATTTTAGAAAATTTGAAGTTATTCTCAAATTTTCAAAACTTTAAGTTATATTTCTTTATTTATCTTGATGAAACTTTGTCTCACGTAAAAAAGAAAGGATAAAAATAATGTATTAATAAATGAAGTTTTCAAAGTAATTTGTAAATCAAAGAGGCTTGATGATTTAAACCAAAAAAGCATTTCGACGGTGGAGGTATTGCTAATCAAGAGTAATAAAAAAAATTATTAAAAAATCTACATCAATAAATTTTTATTTTAACTTCACAAATGGTTGATATATCTATATTTTTAATAAACTTAAATAATTTGATAGGTATAGACTGTTAGTTTTTAAAATTTTAATCATATAATATAATATTATGAAATCAAATAGAAATCTCGACATGATCGATCAAAATTCTAATATTTAGAGCTTGTTTGGCATGACGGTTTTGATTGTAACGCCCTCAAAAAATAAACCCATCATAGCATACATTCACGATAAATAAAAGAGTTTTCATATTACAATCATCAGAGTATTCTTACAAATGGTATTACATGTTGACAATAAAAGTAAACGCCCTATAGGCTTACAACTTTCCAAGTCAACACTTGGTTACAAAAATGAGAGTACTAACTCTACACAAATAAGCCCTTGGCTTGATATACATGTAATACAACAAAAACAACAAAAAGAGTCTACAGCCTCCAGCCACCCAAGCTACGTCCTTAGAGGCGGCATAACACCTGTACCTGAAAATGATGTCCCATATAGGGTGAGCCAACGCCCAGTAGAGATATGCTAAACATAATATGAGCAATAACTAAAACATTAGCACTTGATAAATGTTTAACTCATATAAACCAACATACAGTACAATCCAATTCCATAATCTTTAACTTAACAAAACCCAACTTATAAACATGGCTCAGAACCTGGCCAAACAACTTAAGTGAGACTACATCTCATGCCAACAATACTTCAAACTGCCATTTTACAGAAATTGCGTCCGCAGGATTCGGCACCCATGTGTTTTTATTCTCTTATGGCCATTTTACGGATATTTCATCCGCGGGACTCGGCACCCATGTATAGATATTTTCAGATTGCCATTTTACGAAAATTACGTCCGCGGGATTCGGCACCCATGTATAATTATATTCGAATTGCCATTTTACGGATATTACGTCCGCAGGATTTGGCACCCATGTGTTTTTATTCTCTTATGGTCATTTTACAGAAATTTCATCCGCGGGATTCGGCACCCATGTATTCGGCACCCATTTGATTAGTTTCAATTCACCTAATCATCATGCAATGTCTACAACAATCAAGACTATCCTCCACCGATAGTCCAAAGCATTTATTTCTAAACAGATAATAAATGCCTCAACAGATATATAATTGACATTTTCAAAAGCGAGCGATTAATAAATCCAATTCCATCATTCTATCCCATAATGAGCTAATTTCATTATTCCATAATAAATGTCATTAATTACACTAATGACCCAAATATACCCAAATATGACATTTTTCCCTTTAAGCTCAATATTGACCCAAAGGTCCCAATATTATCAACAATACCAATAATCTCATTTCTAGACCCAAACACACATGTATAGGCTCAAAATACAAAACCCCTCTTTCTACATTTTGAAACCCTAACACCCAAAATCACCCAACATCAGCATTATATCAAAATGACTAAAAATTTATGTCAAAGACCATAAGAATGAGTAGTTATCCCTATCTCAAATTCGGAACTCAAAGGAAGAAGATGAAGAAAACTCGAAGTGCTCCAAATCAAGAAATTTTCGGATCAAAGTGAAACCCACGCCAAGCACAACACTTTTTACAAAGGGACAAAGGTGGGAGATCACTCTAGCTAGATCAATGCCTAGAGAGAAGTTGGGTTTTAGAGAGAGGTGCTCTCCAATGGAGGTTTTGAAAAAGTAAGAGAGAGAAAGGAAATCAAAAAGTGATCCAAAAAAGTGAAACTCAGACTGATATACAAGTCGCCCCGCTCGAGCGTGAGAATCCCCGCTCGAGCGTCAAAACTCCCGCTCGAGCATCGGATGCACACTCACAGAAGTTTTGCAGGCGATGGTCCGCGCTCGAGCGTCAAACTCCCGCGCTCGAGCGGAGGAACAAAAACAAAGGGTCACGCTCGAGCGTACTAAGACCTGTGGAGAAAATACTGGGAGATGGAAATTTACTCTCAAGCGTCAAAACGCCCGCTCGAGCGGAGAAGCAACAACAAAGGGCCCGCTCGAGCGTCAAAATCCCTGCTCGAGCGTAAAGGCCAAATTCTGGGCATCAACTTTTGGTTTCAAAGCACAACCAACCTGTTTCAAACCTGCCCAACACAACCCAAGACTCAAATACGAAAAGTAAAGGATGGAAATGAGAATGAGACAACAACACATCCATGGAACCGAGTCCGGAATACAATAAATAAAGAGAGAAAAAACTAGGATCACTATATTGATGAAAATAGTCAAAATGTTAAAATATCCAACCACATCACTTTCTTTACTTTTTACACATCTTTTCTTAAAACATCAAAAAAATCAATTAAAATAATCAATTCCCAAATAACCCCTAATGTCTTTTTTCACCTCTCCATTTATTTATATTAATCGTAACTAATAGATTAAAATTTTACAATACATATGGCACGCTTGTTTGTTTGGTGAGTGCTACGTATGAACTTAATATTCACTTCATCAACTTTTTTATATCATAATTTGAACCCACAAAATGATTACAGAGGTGTGAACCAAAATGACAAGCAAATAAGTCTAAAAAATTAAGGCTCAATTTGGAAAGCCTCTCAAAATATTGTTCCACCCATTGATTTGAGTGTGTTGTTTGTTTGGAGCTTTCAAATCATAATTCTACACCCATTTCTCAAAACTCAATTTAAAACATAATTATTACTTTTCAAAACTCATAACCAAACACATAATTCAAAACTCTTTTCAAAACTCAATTCAAATCAATATTTTAATTTTGTTAAGATTTTAAATATATTAATATTTAAATATGTTATGCTTTTTTTAATTTTTTAATTTTTTTGAATATTTTAAATATTTTAATTTCAAAATATTTCGATTCTAATTTTTTAAATTTTAAAATATTTTATAAAAATAAATTCAAACTCTATTTTATAAAAAATTTTTAAATATTTT